AAGACGAAGACGAAGACCGAAGACAATTTTATCCAGAGGTTGGTTGGTCGCGGCCTGTCGGCCACCTTATTTCTTTTACTTTGCCTACTTTTTGTGATAGTTTCGTTGGGGCCTAACCGGTTCCATTGGCTCTTGCCGTGGCTATGTTTGCTTCTGTCGTGGATAATACCCTTTTCTCTGGGTATAATCATTTCAATCAGCTTTAGCTCTGTCAGGAAATTCATAATCATATGTTCTACTCCTACATAGTTTTTGTCCTTTCGCTAATGGAAAATTTGGTACAACGATTCCATGTGTTCTAACAAGCTGACAAAACAGCCACAGCGATCTGTATAAAGGGTATTCGAGGCTTCGGCCCTCCGCTAAGTAGCTTTTCCCTGATTCCCTGTTTCTTGTTTAGTTATATTTTGTTGCTTTTGCAAATTTTCCTTATTCGTCTGCACACACACAGGGGGGGGGAACACTTTCATATACATGTGCATATGTACTTCGGGATGGGGCACTTGCCACTTGGAGACTACCGACTGCCGTTTGCTGTGCGCCGCGTCACTGGTGGCACGAAACAACAACAGTGGCGCCCAGTGCCATGTTGCAGCAGCAGCTCTTGAGGCCCCCAGGTTGCACGATATTGTTGCATGTTGCAGCTGTTGGTCGGTCGCTTGCCACATGTGCATGATCCCACCCTGAGCTGCTGCACTCCGCTGCGCTCTGCCCCCGCCAGTGATGCCAATTGCAGACGACATCTGTTTCGGGACCTGTTGTAAGTATTTGCTGCTTGATGTTGCTGTTGCAGGCAGCTGTGCAACAACAACAGCAGTACGGGTCCCAGCTCCCAGGTTCGCCTGGCAATTTGCATTTAACTTGTGGGCTTTCCTCAACTCTTATTTATACGTGCATATGTGGTATGTGGGTTCGTCTTGTGGTTTCTTTGCTGCGTGTGAACCAACAGAAATCTCTGAAAGGAACCGCCAGGAAGGAGTCCTGCGACAAATTATGGAAGAGAACGAATCGAACAGAATTACAAAACGAATGAGATGCAGTTTAGAGAGTGAGAAAAAAAGTGCTCAAAGAGCAAATGTAAATGCTTTGAATAAAACGATTTATTTCGTCGCGCAGCAATATTCTCAACCAAAAATCATTCCAGACGTTGTGCCGCTCTCCCGTACTCGGAACAGTCAACTCGTACAAAATATATTAAACATTTGAACTACAAATAGATTTGTATAAAAATAACTTCAAAGGGTGGAGGTAGAAGCACTTTAATTGTTCAAAGTTTTCCGCCAAAGCGCATGTGCAGGTACAAACAAGATAATGACAATAAACGACAGGGTGAGGTGAGGACCCTCTTGGTCCTCAAGGAGGACCTTCTATCTCTGGAAAGCCTCACCCCGTATAAATACACTTTGCACCAGCAGAGACACGTTCCAACCACCCACCCGCTCTCACTGCTTGGAACTCCCATTGCGACGAAGGAGGATTTTGCTGTTGCTCGCTCTCAACGGACTTAGTCGGGCTCCTGCCTTTGACGCCGCCGGATGGATGCTGCGGTCCATTGCGGGATCCTTCTGTGGCATGTGGCATTCGGAGGAAGAGCCGTGCTTTTTGGTGATTTTATGCGTAGTCCGGAGTACGACAACTCCTTGGGCTTTTTCTGGTGGGTTTTTGGCTCGAAAAGCGGATCTTTCTCGCAATTTGGACTAGGCGCTCAGCGTGCCAAAAAGAGGGATGGAAAACAGAGCTTTTTCCAGGCCGGCCCCAAACATACACACAAGCACACAAACATAAACACAACTGGGGAAAAGGCAGAGACAACATTGTTTTTCTCTGTTTAGCTCAACCTTTCTCTCTCTCTCTCTCTCTCTCTGTCTCTGCCTCATTGAGGGGACTCTAGCTGTGTTTGCTTGTTGCCTGTTAGTTTCCGATAAAATTGACTTTTTGTTTGTCGTTTGTCGTTTACCGTTTGTCGTGTGTCGCTTTCGTCAGTTAGCTCGCCACGGCACCATTTTGTTTGGCGTCGTTTTCTAATGGGCCCACAGCCGGGGCAGCGCATCGATTGCTGTTTGTTGCTAGCAGGAAATGGGCAAGGGGCACGGGCAGAGGCATTGGCATCGTCTTTACGACGGCGCGCTTATAACCGCAGTCGAGCGGCGCAGCCTTGAGACGCTGTTGGAAACGCGCGCGTTTTATGTCGCACGCTCTCTCGCTCTCTTTACTTATTTTTGTTAATTTATTAGATAAATAGTACATCAAAATCAGAACCAGATGGTTATAAAGCACTAAATACTATGTACAATATGTATGTATTTGTATGTATACATACATAGATATGTAGAGTGTGCTCATAAAATTTTAATAAGATGCAAATGCCATAAAAACAAAATCAATTCTTGTCGACGCTTTTCTGCCTCTTTGTTGTTGGTTCACAGCATTAACAGACAACCGCACATACACAAGCAAACAGACCGACACTTATAAGAAACACACGCTCTGTCAGACAGATAGACACTCTCTCTCTCTCTCTTAGTCTGTCACTCTCTCTGTGTTGTTACAATCTCTCTCAATCCCATTTAACAGTAACAGAGCTTCGTTGCCGAGTAAAAACGCTCCCGCAGTCGCGCTGCTAACGACTCCTGATCGCCTGTTCGTTTTTGCGATAGACGCGCGACGTAAGTCGCCGCCGTTTTGCCTGAAAAGTCGCCGTCGTGCATTTGATGCTTTGGCGCGTTTGGTGCTTTCTTTGAAAATTTTGTCTGCCGACTGAGTGGTGGTCGGCGGCGGTTAGAATCGCGCGACGGCTCCAACGATATGCCGCGGTTTTGTCGTCGCCGGCAATTTTTTAATTCGCGCCGATTTTGCAATGTTTCTGTGCAGCTCCCAGTACTGTAAATGTTAACAGAAAAGTTAACATTTTGTGCTCTCTATCTGCTTTTGCTCTCACTGTGCAGTGGCTCTGTTTTTGTGCGCCTTCAGTTGTGTTTTTTTTTTAAACTGAGGAGGGAAAACAAAAAGATCATTTGGAAGTGGAATTATCGAAAAATACATTTTACAGGATGGGAGTGATATGTACATATGAGATGTTGTCCTGAGGTACATGCACTGAACTGAATTTTTCCACTGTACCATACAGATGCACGCATACATTACATGCCCCCGCTCTCTTTCCGCTCTTTCATGTTTGCTGCTGTTCCGGTCTATCTCTCTTCTATTTGTTCTCTCCACGATGATGAAGATGTACATACGCATTGATAATAATAATGACGTTTACAATGTTGCCACTGATTGCAAAATTTCTGTGTGTGTGCGTGACGCCGCTGCTCCAGCCCCTCCATCACTGCTTGGTGCCCCTTTCGAATTACTGCTCGTCTTGAGTGAGTTTTCTTATGTTCACTTTTACAGTTATCGTAAAATCTCGTCACTCCACGAAGGATTTATTATGCCTGAACTTCCATGACTCTCATCGATTTCTTTGTGCTAAAAGTAATGATTTCGAACCGAACGGCAGTCAGAGAATTTAATTAAAAATTCCAAGATTCTATGTCTCTCTCTTTCTCTAACCATAAAATACCATCAATGATTTCTTGCTATTTCTTGACGTCACAAATGTATTTTATTACACTGTAAACGCTTATCAACGCCTACCTCAATGAGCGCACTCACTACGTCTCCTTTTTTCTAATTAAACGCAAAAAGCTAACAGCAGCAGAAGCAACAATAGCAATAACAGTATTAGCCAAAAACAGCAAACAAATCCACGCAAGTTTGACCTTTTTTCTCGTGGCTCTGCTCTCCGTTCTCTTTCACACACGCAAAACACACACTATCTCATTTACTCCCACCTGTGAGGAGGGAGAGCTACAGCAAAAACAAATGTAAACAATGCTCTCGCTCTCAATTTTTCTCTTCTGTAGTCTCGTTCATTCACACTCGCCGCTCGCTCACTATCTTTTTCTCTCTCGCCCACGCCTACTGCGGCTGCTGGGCGCCTGTTCAAACGTTCGGCCGAACCGCCGTTCGTTTGTATGGGGAATCGAACGCGAGTAAAGTCGCGATGTTTTCGAATGCTCGATTTGGTTGAAACCTGTTTTTCTTCGTACTGAGGCCTGATGTCTGTGTCTGTATTTTCGTGGAAAGGTTCTGGCGGGGTGGCGGGGCTTCTTTGGGTTAGGTTAGCCATAGCCTGTTGTTTACAGCTTAATTTGCTTGCCCCGCCACCGCGGACAAGTCACAGTCCTTCCATTCAGTTTCCCACCTCTCCCTTCGGTCCACGTGCGGTATTGCACTAGGCATAAGGTTGCAAAAGGTTTTGTTTTTTTGCCGTTTCTTTTATCATTTTCGCCTCTGCAACATCTACAGTTGTTCGTCGTTCGCGTTCGCGTTCGTCGTCTTCGCATTCATTTGCCGACGGTGTCGTCGCGCTTGTATTTGTGTTCGTGTTCGGATCGGCTCGGGCTCCACTCCATCGTTCGACCCAACGACCGTTGACTCCCCCACTCAAAGCTCCATCGTCCGTCATTCAGTCATTCATTCAAGCGCCAGACGCAGCGCAGGGCAGTTGTTCAGTTTGTCAATTTCTTGCCGCTGCCGAAGCCGCCGTGCTTTGGACACGCGATTTTCTGTAGTTGTGTGTGTGTCTGTGTTTGTGTGTAAGAAAACGCGCGACAGCCGCTCGCGTTTCGCTGGCGATTAATGTTTTAATCAGTTTTTGTCGCTGTTGTTGCTGTTGTTCATTATAACCAGTAGTGTCGTCCGTCCGTATATTCGGAGAATTTCGGATGCATTCTTATCAGTTCTTTGATCTGTTCTGTTCATAATTTGTTGGGGTTTTTTGCTATGATCTCTGTCTCCCTCTCTCTCTCTTTCTTTCTCTCTTTGGTTGTGAGGTCGTCGGTTGTTATCAGAAAATTTCACGTTCCGTTTCCACATAATCCATACAATAATTGAAAGAACAATCTTAAAAGTATTCAACACTTACCCTTTCCTTTCTCTGTTCCGTTTTGCAGAACTTGCCACCAACCACCAAGATGATGACCTTGCCGAAGTTCGGCTGGTTCCACTTTCTCCAGCTTCCTTTGCACCGATCGACGTGAAACCCCCACGGAGTTCCATACAGCGGAAACCACCCAATCAATGCGCCAGCCCACTGCCATTAGTAGTCATATGTACATCAGTTATAGACATAGATATACCGTAAATATATATATATAAATATATATATATATATATACATATAGATTTGGCCCTGCGTCTTGTTCTTCGTGATTTCGTCGCTGTCAGCGTTCGACGCCGACTGAGACGAGAGCAGCGAAGCAACGAGAGCACAGCGAAAGCCTCACCACGGACGCATTTATGGATGCGGGCGGCCTGCCAGTCTTCCAAGCCAGCCAAGCCAGCCAAGCAGCCGCAGCCGTCGCCCAGCAACAACAGCAACAGCAGCAGCAGCATCAGCATTTGAATCTCCAACTGCATCAGCAGCATTTGGGCCTACACCTGCAACAGCAACAGCAACTGCAACTGCAACACAATGCACAGGCGCAGCAACAGCAGCAGATACAAGTGCAACAGCAACAACAGCAGCAGCACTCTCCCTACAATGCCAACCTGGGAGCAACAGGCGGCATTGTCGGCGGCCATGTTGCTGGCGGAAACGGAACTGGCGGCCCTCCAAATCCAGGAGTCAGCCTTGGACCAAACAGCGGGGGCGGCCCATCGCCTAGCGATTCCCTTCCTCCCAAGCGACAACCCATTGTGGACCGATTACGACGCCGCATGGAGAACTATCGACGAAGACAGACAGACTGCGTGCCGCGATACGAGCAGGCCTTCAGCACCGTCTGCGAGCAGCAGAACCAGGAGACCACGGCCCTGCAGAAGCGCTTCCTTGAGAGCAAGAATAAGCGGGCGGCCAAGAAGACCGACAAGAAGCTGCCCGATCCCCAGCAACATCAGCAGCAGCAACAGCATCAGCAACAACATCAGCAGCATCAGCATCAACAGGCGGCACAGACGATGTTAGCCGGACAACTGCAGAGCAGTGTTCATGTGGTGAGTGTCTCAATTATCCAAATACTTAATATTTTAATTATTTATAATATTATGTGTCTCCCCATTTGTTCGATCTATGGTTGATCATTGACTTCATCACATCATCACTTGGCATTCCTTAGCCATGATCGGTGCTATCCTATGATTATGATGATTCCATGTGATGTTCCATAGAAAAGTGCTCAAAGTGCCATGCGATACCCATTGAAAGTTGCTGTAGCAGCCCCAGCAGCAGCAGTACTTCAGTGGTAGTGACTTCTCTTTGAAATGGAATTGTGAAATGACTGTGACTTTGTATTGGGAAAGAGTCTGGGCATTTTCTCGTCAAATGCAAATCGCATACAGTAGATGCAGATGCAGATGCAGATGCAGATACTCTGAGTGGGGTGACGCTCATCAATGCATAGTTGCTTCATATCGGTGCATGGTGGAGCTTTGAGCTTCAGAGTACAAAAGAGAAGAGGGGTGGTGGGCAACATGTACATGTGTACACATGCACAAGAAGTAATAATGAGGTCAGCGATTTTTGTGTCTTTTTCTCTTTCAGTTTTCGGTTCAGTTTCACCCAGAGTTCGCATTCGAACTGCATGAGCCTCCCTCAAACTTGTAGCCCAGCCACAAGATACAACTTAGTGTACATATTTGCTGTAGCCACAATCTACTGTATCTGCAGTTGGTCTTTTCATGCTTTTGCTTTTGCTCGCACTACTTAGTGGACTGCATTTGAAAATACCTTGAACAACAAAAAACCTAAAACAACTTTGGTATATTTTGATTTGTTTCCATGTGATGTGTGTGTGGCATGATGCAAGACTCGTTGCTGCTGCACACTCTGCAGTCTTATATAATTGTTAGTTCTGTCGACAATCCTTCAAAAGCGACTTAATCATCGTTGTTCTTGCTGTTGTTTCTGTAATTACCAGACACCAGTTCGAGTCGAGCTTCTACGAGCACACACAAACGTACACACATCTTTTATCTGTCGCACAAACCCAGAACGTGAGTTATTCTGAGATCAGTTTTGAGTGGAAAAGTTTTTCCGCATCCGCCTGCCAATGTCAGTACCCCGCCTCACCTCATAATTATTCATTGCTGGCTTCGGCTTTTTGTTGTTTGGGTTCCGTTCCCCTCTTAATTCAAGTTCTTTTCATATGCAAAAAGTTTGCTTAGTCAGGTCTTTGGAACACAAGAGGCCACAGGGAAAAGATATAGAGATATGTAGAGAGATAGAGAGAGAGAGAGAGTGAGAGTAGAGTGAGAGGAAAAACTTTGCTTTAGAAGTGTGTAAAATAAAAAATGTTTAAAACTATTGCAGACATTTGTGAATAGAGTTTTTAATATTGTTTGAATGAGTCGCTGTACAAATGTACAATTTATTTCCTTTGAGACTTTCTTCTGCATTTTGAAACAACTAAATTAGAAATGGCAAATGGCAAATGGCACTCTTCTTTCTCTACTCGCGGTCCATACATTGCTGTGGCATCTCTCGAATGAATTAATCATCAATGGGATGGGATGGTTCGATGGATGCGGCGCCTGCCTAATCTAACACTGCGTTTCACTTTTCTTTTCATTTATTTGCCAGCTTTTTACTGTTTTTGAAAATCTTGAACTGCCGCCTGCGGCTGTAGCGGTGGCGGTGGCTGTGGCTGCAACTGCGGCAGTGAAAATCGTTGCAAATTGCGGCCAGGCCATCGAAGCCGGTGCAACATGCAAAACAAGAAAGCAGCAGCAGCAGAAAGACACAGCGAAAAAGATATTGTTTATTATGCGTTGTGTTTGTGTTGTGTGTGTGTGTGTGCTTTGTTGTTGTTATTGTGTGTTTGGGAAAGTCGCGTGTTGCAATTTCTTCTTCATCTTGTTGCACTTTTTCTCATTTTTATTGGCTTCGTCGGGTGGTGTTCGGGGAGGAGGGTTCGTTTCTCTCCTTTCAGTCATTGTTGCCAATTTTCACTTCACTTGGGGGTCGTGTGGCATTTTCTGACAGCCGTCAGTCAGTCAGTCATTCAAGGCGCAGCCAACGAAACAAAAGTTGTTGCATGTGCAACCGTCAAACCGCCCCGCCCCTCCACCCCTCCACCATATGGCTGCAGCTCTAGAGCACACGAGTAGATTGTTGTTTGTTTCAAGTGCCTTCACCTCCTGCTCCTTCTGCCTTCTGCCTTCTGCCTTCTGCCTGCTCCCTGCTGCCAGCTCGCTGCTTCTGTTGTTGCGTCTTGATTGACAAGTGACAACATATTATTGGCGTATCGTTGCAAGCTTTGATTAGTTGTTTGGTTGTTGCTTCACTGTTGTAGCATTGTTTACCCAGTACTCAGTGACTGAGCCTTAGGGTCGGAAAACTTATTACATATAAATTATACATAGATCCATAATTTATTCATATTTCACGAAGGAATGGACACATTGGCTGGAAAGGGAACAGCATTTTTCGCGAAGGAAACTTTGAATGACTCAAAATGCAAGTAATCATTGGAGGAGATACAAACAATATTAAATTCATGCTTAAAGCTCTGTCGATAATTCATTTATCTTCAAGTGACTGGCCAAAAAATCACCCACCTGAACAGTCTGCACGCTTTGCGTGGGTGTCTCTACTGTTTTTGTGGCCCCAATGATGAAAATGGCCCCAAATGAGAGATGTGAGCGCGAGCGGAAGCATGGAAGAAATATTGTTGAGGTGTGATGGGGTGGAGTAAAGAGTTTTGGGCTGGTTCGACAAAATCGATTCCATTTCGACAAAGAAGACCCGAAAAGAGAGCAGAAACGGTTAGGAAAACCTGAAAATGCAGAAAGTAAAGCTTAAAGGCGGCCTTGTATTCCCCACCTTGGAGGTGGATACAGCGTATAGGAAACTATAGGCAATATCTTCCAGATTGGTAATCTATTCTTTTTTGCAGTTCTAAGCAATCGTTTTGAGTCGAAAACTTACACTTTTCCCATATTTTGTTCGCTATTGCACCAGGCAAAATGGGGCCAAACGGAATTTTCCACCAAAGTTTCGCACATCTTGCCCAGGCCTGCAGAGGGTGTTCGCTGGTGCAACATCCCCAATTGCCATTCCCTTACCCATCCTGCCATGTGGCACTTCAAAGGCTTCTTCCTCTTTGGTGCATGATATCCTTGTGGCAGTGTGAGCGGGGTCCGGCAAGGGTTACAAATGGGTGGGTGCCGTGGGGCGGTGTTTTTTGGGAGGCTTTGTGTGTGTATGCTGCTGCACAAACATGAAATTCTGCATATTTTATTTATTATGTTTGGCAAATTTCATTGCATATTAAAGATGCAATTTTCCACAAGAGGTAGGACGCTTTTCCTCCCCATTATACTGTCCAACCTGCTCCCCCACCTACATCCCGCCATTTCCACTGCCTCCGTCTGCCTTTCAAAGTTTCGCATTTGCCCTGCGATGGTACTACAATAAAAGCTTTAAGTTCTTCGGGCTGAATCTGGCTTTTTGTCAATTGTCTAGAAACATTTTAATTGCTTTACGTTTGTTGTTTCTCCGGCTGTTGTTGCCAGGACAGAAATAATAAACAAGACAATAACCCATTCCAAATGTAGTGGGGGCGAGACTGCGCCTGTGATTGGAGGTAGACTTTTAACCCTTAAATAATAATCGTATGATAAACGTTCTGCTCTTTTTTTTTGTCCGTTTTTATTTGAGGTTTTCCAAAGAAAAGTGCTTGCTGTGGTAGGGATAGGGAGGATAAAAGACAAATGCGGCAACTGGAAGCTGTGCTCATGTCTTTACTTTTATTTATTTTACTTTTTTTCGTGGCCTTACACTCAGCCAGCCATCCATCGTCACATCGTCAGCAAGGTCCCTCCCAGCTGAAGACAAGCCAGGCGAACATCCCAATCCCGATCCCACCCCAAAGGCTCTGCCCCTACTACCTCTATGATACCTATGCCTTCGTGGCTCTTGCCTCTTGTGCGCCTGGCGTTGCTCTTTCGGTTTTGCCTTTAAAAATCGATAAACTCATTTTGAAGTTGTACCAACAGACACACCAGTAAGGAAATCACACAAGCACAGGTACATATGTACATACACACAAGAACACACACACACACACACACATGGATAGACTGTGCTTACTTTTATTTTCTATGCGCCTACTAGCCATTGCAGCATCCCCCCAATCCCAAATCTCGACAACCTACGATTGTGCTTCAGCTACGACGTTTTATCTGGGGGTAAACGATGCCGTGCAGATAGATACACAAGCGAAATCCAGAACCCAAAAAGCAAGCACATGGCGTGCTTGCTCTGCACTAGCAGAGCGCTTCTAGCCTCTTGATAACCGAAAAAGATTCGAAACTCTATTAAGTGGTATTCGCAAGCCTTCAAAACAGAAAGGCAACCTCCTAAATTTGTCCCATTAATGCTCAAACGTTTGCCAAATTTAAGACAACGCTTCCGCTAGGAGCTTACCGAATTCCTGCCCCAGTATGCGACGTTGATGGGAATAGTGGTTAACCCTTACATTGGGCGCGAGGCGCTTCAACTCCCTCGTTGGCATCCCGAACAACGCCTCGGCCGTGTCCGAGGCCACAACCCCAGGCTTGCATTCAATTTGAGTATCGATTACATGAAATGAGCTCTTGTCAAAGGCATGAAAGACAAGAGGGGCGGGGCAAAGGGACCTGATACAGAGCAATGCACTTACATGAGGAAAATTAACACAAGCACAAGGCTCTTGTGTCAAAGGCAAATGTTCATTCAATTGATTTGTTCGTTAATGAGAAAATCGAGTGGCTAAATATAAATAAAAACAAATAAGTATAAAGATAAAGCTACATACATTATAGGTACATTAAACAGCAATAAGTGTATATTGATTAATCTCTCCAATAGAAATTGTTTTAGAAGGATGCACAACATGTGACATGGAAGGCGATTATTTTTATAGACAATTTCTGAGTTTTGTATGGAAGTCCAGGCGGCTCAGGCTCAGGCTCACTTCCCTTTCCTGCTCTTCCTTTCAGTTTGTTAATTTATG